TATCCAAATGTGTGGGGTGCAGCCAAGGCACTGGCTAGAAGAATAGCTGTAGCTTTCAATGCCTATGTTAGAAAAGAGGAACTGTCTGAGGTCAGTGACCTAAGGATCAATCTCAAGAGCCTACAAAAGAAAATAAACAAAGTAAGCACAAAGGAAGTAGAAGGAAAGAAATAGTAAAGAGCAGAAATCAACAACATAGAAAATAAACATTACCAAGAAATTACAAAGTGAAATCCTAGTATTTTCAAAGCAACAAAGTAGGTAAACTGATACCCAGACTACTAAAGAAAAAAATCATTAACAGAACATAAACCATCAATATCGAGCATGAAAGACTGGTTATCACTGTGGATATGAGAGACAGTAAAAGAATAGCAAGCCGTTTTGTGAAAGACTTTATGCCAATCAGCTTGGTAACTTCATGAACTGGACAAATGCCATGAAAAATATAACTTACCAAAATTTGGGCAAGCTTAAAGAGAAAATGGGAGGAGCCCTGTACTCATTAAAGACCCTGACTTTGTCATCATAAACCCTCCCACCAGGGAAACTCCAGGCCCACTCAGTTTCATCGGTGAACCCCATCAAATATTCACAGAAGTAATAACACCAATCCGCATACGCAAACCTTTTCAGGAAATACAGACAGAGGGAACACATCGCAATGTGTTCCTGAGACAAGCATAAAATCAACACCAAAACACTACAAAATATTACAAAAAAAAAAAAGGATTATTTCTAAAGCACTAAAGTGAACAAGGTAGCGCTCGTGAGAGTCTCAGAGTCTGCTGGCTCCGCGGCAATAGAAATGACTAATTTAAGCCAATTAGCACACACGTCAACTCCTGACATCATAATATTAAACTTCATTCCATGATGTCTCCTCAGAGCTTGCCATGTTTGGTAATAAGTCATCTTTTTAAGAGAGAGAGAGAAAAACAAACAAACAAACCAACCCTAACTCTGCGCAAAGAAACACAGAAAACCACATTATTGGCTTAGCAGAAATCCAAATATAGTAAGTAGGACCCCAGAAAAACTGTTGTGTCGGGAAGGAATGACACAGAAAAGTCCCAGAGGGAAAGGGGCCCGTGACCCTTTTCATTGGTGTGTAGCGCAGAATTTTCTAAGTGTGTAGAGGTGAATTCTTTGAAGACAGCATTGCAACTTCTACCCTGACAGATGTTCTCAGTGTGGTTTCTCCTGCGAGCTGAGGGAACCTTCTGGCTCTGAAGATGTGCCATGGTAACACACGAGAACTTTCTTAACTAGTTACTCAGAGCCAGCATGTTGCCTGGAAGCCGGCGCCCAGGTCCACCGTGACTGCCAGCACATGAACACCCTCGGGGGCCGCAGGAGGCATGGGCATCGGCACTGCCGAGCCTCCCCGGAATCACTCCCTCAGAAGTCAGTCCCCAGAGACGGGGACACACAACGGATATGAAAAAACCAAGAGCGACCACATTTCTGATTGAAAATTTGGGCCCTGGTTCTGACAAAGGACTTTGTGGTTGGCGTTCTGACAGCCCCGGTGGTTTGTAAGCACCTTACCCAGTTGGTTCACAGTTGGAAGAGGAACACCACACAGAGGCTGGTTTGGGGCTGTGGGCACCATCACCGTGGGGTCCAGGGTCTGAGGTCCCGCCATCAGCTGCACATCCCGCGCCGGGATGAGACCCCCGAAAGCAGAGATTGGGGTTTAGAACTGTCACGGCCTTCCCGTGGTCCTGCAGCCACAAGGCGTGGCACGGGGTTTAGTAATTCAGGTTTACGATGTTTTACACAAGTCCTGGTCCAAAGAAACGGGTCCTTGCACACAGACTGAGTGTGATGCTCTGTTGTGGGACAGCAGCTCTGAAGTGTGGTTTTCTGGCCGTGGGTTCTGGGGGGAGCAGCGGGTGATGGGCTACTGATGAAGGTAGCTCCTGATGCCACGACCGGGGGTTTAAAACAGACCCGCGTGAGCGCAGAGTCGCCCCACACATTGCCGCATGTCCACAACCTCGCCTGCTCCATGTTCTCTGAGGACACAGAGGGGCTGTGGTCTCGGTCCAGGTGCACCTGGGCAGGGGACCCGCCCTCACGTCATCCCTGGAGCGATGACAAAGCAGAATAAAGCTTCGGCCGGTGGCAAGGGGCAGGGGAGCTCCCATGGCCCCTGGGCTGGGCGTTGGGTGCGGGGTGGGAGGCCCCTCACCGGCCGCCCCCGGTCATCGGTGGGAGGCGGGAGCACAGAGGCCCAGCTCACCTCCAATCTCACAAGAGTGCCTGAGACAAGTTTGCTTTTCCGCGTCAGCCCCAACTTCTCTTAAATATGGTTACTCACACACACAGACTAGAAATGCCGCGGCTCTTTCTTCTGGGGCCATCTCCACAGTGAGCATGTGCAAGCCCCCGGCCTGGGGTCACGGACCCGGGGGCCAGTGCTTCAACTCTCCACGTCCCCAAGGTTTTCTTTTACAAAGTGAGCAGGCTGCAAGCGGCTTACTCTGCTCTGAAACACGCCGACCCCTCTTTCCCTCTCATTTTCAAGGACAATCAAATACCCAGTGAACCTCGGTGTGGTATCTGATTTCCTGATGAACGCACCTTGGGGCTTGTCAAGGCTGGCTGCAGGTGTGTTTGCCAGGAGGCCAGCGTGTATCATTTCTGTGGTTTGGCAGGGAAGTTTCCAAGCTGGGTGGATTGGGGAAGCAGGGAACCAAAGTCAGGCCGTGAGAAGGTCTGGCTGAGTAAGAAAGGATGCCGACAGGCAGTCCTGGGCTCGGACAGGCGAGCAGAGGCCTGGGCAGCCACTGGGTCCTGGACAGAAAAGACTGTGGCCCCACCCGCACGGCTCCTTGGCCAAGGCCCTGGCTGCATGGCTGTGCCCTCAGTGTCCCCTATTCCCATCAACCCTGGTTAAACACCCCCAAAGGAAGGACGACCTGGGCTCTTCAGGGTGCAAAGTGGGCGGCACAGTACAGGAGGGCAGTGACCCTGGCCTGTGTCTGGGGACCCACCCAGGCAACGTGCCCACCTGACACTTGCCCTTTAAACCCTCCTCCCCGATGGGCCTCTCGGACCTGCCAGGGATCTGCAGGAGGCACAGGGGCAGGCTGTGCTGGCATTTCAGGAAGGCAGTCCAGTCCCTGCTCCTCCCCGCCCCCAGGGTGTGTAGGCGTGGGGACAGACGGCCAGTCAGTCCCGTAGTCAGCGGGACTACTAATACAGCGCCCACCAGCTCCCTCAGAGGCCTGCCCTGCCCTGCAAGCTAGGCATGTCCCCCCAGGACCCCCAGCACCTGTGTGGAGCCCATGCGGAGCCCCAACAGCACAGGCTCCGACACAGAAGGACTGGCCTCACCACGCCCAGGAGTTGGCGGCCCCCCGCTCGCCACAGACCACAGTGGCCACCTGTGCCTTGCTTCCATGCTCAGGGGGACGCCCTGAGGAAGTGGGGCACCACGTCCCTTCCCTAGCCACACTGTGCAGCAACAGCTCCACAGCTTGAGACAGCCCCACCAGCGACCATCCGGCCCAGGGACAAGGGCCACCCTCCTGGCCACAGCTGCTGGGGACAGAGGTATGCACCTTGGCCAAGGGCGAGCCACCACAGTCCTTTCCACTGGGAGCCGAGAGCACAGGGTCAGCCCCGGATAACTTGCTAACTTGCTACCTTGTGTGGGAGGCAGGCGCAGGAGGCCCAGGGCCCCCCACTGCAGCCTGATCGCTCTTCCAGCCAGGTCGGACGCAGCAAGCTGAAGGACCCTGGCTGCGTGCGTACAAATTCAAACAAGCGTGTGATGGTCAGGCGCCTGGCTAGGCGGACCTCACTCCTTGGAGTGTCCCTCAGAGCAAGGCAAGGAGGGTGGGTGTGTACCAGGAGCTGGGCAGCCCCTTTGGGCTTCATTCTCCCACTGCATGGAGAAGAGCTCAGATGCCTTGAGACAACATCGGTCCGTCCTGCCCTGCAGCCCCAGGGGCATCGGGAGACCAGGTCCTCGGCCAGGTCTGCACCCCAGCCCCACGTGGCCTCCATCCTGGCCCCAGGCGAGGGTCACATGAGGCCAGTCTAGCCCAGAGCAGCCACCTTCTGCCCCACAGCCCTGATCTCAGCTCCCACGTGATTCGGGATAGACCATAAATGCCACACTGCAGGGTTTCTAAACGTTTGTTTTCTGATGTAACCGCAAAGCTGAAAAACATTGGCCCTCCTGTGATAGGTGTTCAGGAACCACTTTGTGGACGGATGACTTAACACTTGATTATTTGTAGAGTGAGCACTTCACAAATATTACTACTGGCAATAATATTAAGCTTCTCAACTTAGACCTCATCTTTACCTAAATGTGCTAATCTGGCAAATTATAGGTTTTGAGCAGGTTGTAGATCATCTGTACATGGTTATTTTGTTGTTGTTATTGTTTGTAAAAAAGGGGGATCAGCTGTAAACCAAACCACGAAGGCCAAAGGATATAGTGACATTGCTCACAACAGTGCTCACACGTTGCGCAAGATAAAGGAGGAGCCGACCCATGTATAATAACTGCAGAAACGCAAAATAAAACCAGGACAGCGCGTTTCTCAATGACTGGGCTGGCGGTGCACAGAGGCCACATCCCCTCCTGTTGGGAGGTGGAGACACTGACCCCCCACGGTCAGGGGGAAGGCAGACTGGCAGGAAGCAGGCGAGTGAGCAATTTGGCAGTATCTGGGAAAATTAAAACAGTGCATCCTCAACGCAAGGTCAGGCCTGCAGCAGTTGGCCTGCAGCTGCGAAACCTCAGCCACAACATCCAGCAAGAGAGCAGCCGCTAGGAGGAAGGGCGGCCCCATAAGGAAGCCTATGTACCTGACTGAGGAAAACGTTCATGATTATCCTGAGGTGCGAGCGAGCCGGCCACAGGCCCATCCGGAAAGTATGATGCTACTGTTTCTGGGGAAAAAGGTATGTGTGTGAGTGTCCATGCACACTCGCATGAGTATGTGCGTGAGTGCGAGTGTGCACGTGCATGAGTCTGTCGCACGTGGGTGTGCACGTGTCTGCTTTGGGAAGCAGTCAGGAATAATGACGATGACACAGGTATGGTAAGAGCGCTGTTGGAAGTGCTGAGCTATGCCCTGTGCCGGCCACCGTTCTAAGCACTTTACATATATGCATGCACTCCATCCTCATGACCATCCTGCAAGGGGCTTACTACTGTTGTCTCCACTTCACAGATCGGGAAACCGAGGCAGTGAATAGCCAAGTGACCCCCCCCCCCACCAAGGCCCCTCAGCCAGTAGGCGGCAAATCCGAATCCAGGAGACCTGCTTCCAAAACCCAGACCACCATCATTCTGGTCGTCAAAGAGGAGGCGGACTGTCCGACATTTCAAGTGGTGGGAGTACGGGTGTTTTTTACTTTCTTTTTGTCTTTTCAGAAGTATTTTGATATTTCAAGTTACTACTTCAACAGCTGAAAGAAGACACCTCTTCCTCAAGGGTAGGCGGGCGCTGTGGGATGTCCTCTGGCCCTTGACCTCCCCCGCGGGATGACGTAAGCAGGCCCACGGAGACTCGGCAGGAAGAGCGCGGAGTTATGCAATCGGGCTTCGTGTCACACGAGTGACAGCGCCCATGGAGACGCTGATGAAATCCTCAGGCCGGGAGCTGTCAAACGCAGGTTTCAAAAACAGAAGGAATACACCCGGCCCACACCCTGACCGTGCAACCTATAATTAATCAGGAAAAAGAGAGATCTGTCCGGTCTCGAGGCTTCAGCTGTCCACCTGGAGCATGAAGTTCCAAGAATACCACTTGGCTTCTCTCCGGAAGCCTGTTCTACTCATCTCTTCATGCTCTAACTTCAGGATTTTTTGACTCCTATTTTTGGTGCTGCTACCAAAATGGGCATGCAAGTGGATTCTGCATAACTCATAAGATACACTGAGTGTCCAAGTGCTACTACCGTGTCACAGCCGCGAACGCAAGCACAGGCGTGTAGACAGCTGCTCGGCCTCGCGGCCCAGCCAGCCAACGGTGTCTGAAGTTCAGCCCGGCACATCTGCCTGCTCACGGTCCCAGGCTCCAATTCTGCGTTACGTAATCCAGTAGAGAAGTGCACGCTGCTTCGTCTCATGTCTGAATGCACATGAACTGCCTGTCCTGGGGCAGTGGCCCTGGGGACGCCCTCCGGGTAGTGCTGGTTCCAGGGTGAATAGTTCTTGCATTACCAGCAGCCACCGGAGACCCTGGGAGATGGGCTGCCTCTATCCTGGGGAGCCCCTGGATGCCCCCCCAGAAACAGAGGGCCATGCTGGGGAATGTGGCAGTGGGTGCCACATCTTCAGGCAATAAATGGAAGGACACACTGCCCTGCTCAGAAAATGAGGGGCCTGTGGGGGCCGGAGCAAAGGGAACAGAGGCTGGGTCACCTGTGGGGAGCTGTGGTGGATGTGCGGCCTCGGAACCTTTAAGAACAAGCAGGTCCACAGGCCCACGGTTCTTTGACATCACCCACCACTCCAGCCGCTCTGAGGCCCTTGTGTTTCCTGGGTGGCACCCCTAAGCCCCGGAAGACCAGGGACGCGGCATGAGTGGTAACCCCTGCAGCTATGCAATGACAAGGCAGCTCTGCATCAGCCCAGAGGTGCACACCTGAGCAAGGTCACCTGCGCACACCTGCAGGGGGTAGGGCAGGGGTGGTCCACATAGACTGAACCAAGATGGCAGTCCATACAGACTGAACCTCTCCGTGGGAATCCGGGGCCCTGAACAACAATCTGGGGATTTGCAGAGTTTAGGGGCAGGATCTGCCTCCTTCAGAGTGTGGGGTGTGGGCTGTAGGTCGTTGTTTCTAGGTTTTGAGTGGCCAAGGGGCACTCCAGGAGTCTGGCCTTGCCCCACCCTACACACACCGTGTGCCCTGCCTCTGCATTTGTCAGCACCCCACATGCAAGCATCCTGGGAAGGCGCACACAAGGGGGGGGGCACTGGGAATGCTAGTGGATGACCAAAGGGGGTCCCAGCGATGGACACAGCCACTGTGCAGGGAATACTGACTGAGTGTCGGCACGCTTTGTCCAGATGTGGTCTCACTGAATCCCTGGTCTGGCTCCTTCCTGTGCTTGAGACTGGACAGGCCTGGCTATTGCTTTGAGCACAGACTGTAGAAGTGTCCTTCTGAGACTCCAGTGCCCAGTCCTTATGAGGGTCCGGGCATCTAGCTTCCCCCATGCTGACGCGTGACGGATAAGAGGCCCCATGGTGAGGCCCTGGGGACGGGAGAAAGCCCAGCTGCCCCATTGAGCACTGTCCGAGTTCTGATCTGCAGAGTAGCAAGAAAAAAAAGGTTGCATTGTTCTGAACACCGAATTTTGGGGATGGCTTGTTACAGGGCAATAACTGAACCACAGTCGGGCTCCTCTGTCCTGCCCGGTTGATCAAGAACACAGAAATGGAAAACAATGGTATGAAATGAATGAATGAGTGAATTACTGTACATTTAGCATTAAAGCCGAGAACCAGACAATGGGTTACAGAAATGAAAGGGAATCAGTAAAGCTGGAAGGAAAATGAACACAGGGCATCTCTGGAAAACCAGAGTTCTCTGGTTTTCCCCTTCTCGGCTGATTACAGTCAGTCAAGCATATGCATCTTGTTGTGAGCAGAACACCGGCCCTTCGAAGATGTCCGCGTCCTCATTGCCCGGACCTGTAAAATGCTCGGTTTCTGGCCTTGGGGGATTAGGGGTAGCAGAGGAGGGTCATCAGGAGAAGTGAAGATTGCTAATCAGCTTTAAAAAAATCGAGAGATGATTCTGGACAGCGTGAGTGCGTGCAGTGTGGTCGCGAGTCCCAGCTGAGGGTGAGGGCAGAAGGGAGGGGTGGGCAGAAACCTTGGACTGTGGTTGCTGCTCTGTAGGTGGGGGTGGTGACACGGGTCCAGGGACGCGGGGGCACGGGAGGCCTCCAGCAGCTGGAAAGGCATCAAAGGACCCTCCCCTGGAGCCTCCGAAGGAAACAGCCCTGCTGACACCCAGACCTCAGCCCCCGGGAGACGCAGGCCATCCTCCCAGCCTCCAGAACTGTGAGATTACAGGTGTGTGCTATTGGAGGCTGCGGCGTTGCGGCGGTTTGTTTTGGTCGCAGGAGAGAACGCACACGTCGTAGGAAAATTAGGAACGGCATATATATCACAGGTGTATCACATGACAGTCGGGTTGGATCGTCCCTGCTTCTCCAGGTGAACATTTCCCTGTTGGTCATGTGCCCACCACAGCCGCGCTTCCAGCTGCTGGGGGCTGGGGGTCCAGCTGCGGGAGTGTGTGGACCACCGTGTACGTGCCCCTCCCGTCTGCCTACTTGACGGAGCCCGTGGGTCTGTTTCAGAGACTGATGTTCTGCTGCACGAACCGGATCAGCGTCTCAGGATGAATTCCCACGACAGAAGGTGCTTTGCCGAAGGACAGAAGCTTCCTTTCCTCGTGGGTGGTGTATGATCTCTGCCACCACCGCCATGCAAGCCCACCCGTGGCCCTGGACCCTCACCCACACTGGCTGCACCCGTCTATTCCATTCTGTTTCTGAAGTACTGTGTCCTTTCTCTTCCTTTCAAAACGTCATTTCCTTTAAGGACGATGCATTTGGGACCTAGATTTGTGGCTGGTATTCTCTCACATTATTTTGAAATATAAAGCTTTGATTCTTTGATGTGCCTTTGCCTGGAAGCATTGTTACTTGGGGTCAGAAACACAAGCAGAAGCTCATCGTGCTCTTTCTTCGTGTCACCCGCTGGAAGCTGGGGGCACAACCTTGTCCCCTCAGGAGCCTGGAGCCCCTGGCTGGCAGCATCCGGTGATTGTGCCCAAGGGTGGCATCGGGCAGGCGTGTGGGCTTCTGTCCCAGCTCAGCCTTTGGGAAAAGCCTGAGTGGTGAACCTAACACCCCCTCGGCACAAACAGGTTAAATTAAGTTAATTCACCAGCTAATGAGATGCTGTGATGCTGCGCAGTTTCCCAGAGCCTCCGACACCCTCCATCTGGGCCTGGCCGTCAGCTGGAGCCCGGCGTCTGGGTCCACTTTGATGGCCCCGTGGACTTGGCCCAGCCTTTCTCTGCCCCTGCCCTCCTGCCCCAGGCATCTGCCTCGTTCCTTCGTATCCTCAGATACGTTACCAACCCCGTCCGAGGAGAAATCATGCTTCTCAGCACACTGTGTGTGTATGTACGTGGGGGTGTGTGTGTAGGTGTGTATGCACATGTGTGGTGTGTATGTGGGGGGGAGTATGTGTTTGGAGTGTGTGTGTATGTGTGCCGTGTGCCTGCATGAGCTGGGCCCCGGAGCTGTTTCCATTATTCCAAGAAGGCATGTGCGGGTTAGGCACAGTGGAACCGAGTGTGCTCAGCTTCTGAGCAGAACCAAACCCTGTCGGTGAGCAGCTGGAGTTTGGGATGCTCGTGTTGGGGGCATGCTTACTGAACAGGCGGTGGCTCTGGGAGAGCCCCTTCCTGTTGCCAGCACCTGGCAGGGACCCTGCACTTGCTTGGAGCTTAGCTGGTCCTGGTCCAACAGGAAGCCTTCAGAGGGCTGAGCCCAGGGACTGCCCGGGGAGGTAACGTTCCCCCAGGTAACGAGTCCAGCCACCCCTGACCGGCCCAGGGTCCACCCGCCGTTGGCATGTGGGTCATTTCACAGATGTCCTGATGGCGCCAGGTACCTTGGGAAGGAGGCTGTGTGCTTCCCAAAGCCCAGCCCAAGTCACAACAGGTGTTAGAGTGGGGGAGCCCCGCCAGCCGGACCCCCCACCGCCCGCCCCTGCAGAGCCTTGTCTTCCCAGGAGGGCCCACTGCCCACTGCTGTGCACCTGGCCCCTCGCAGCAGGCCCCACCCTCTGGCCTGACCGCCCCGAGGCAAGGAGCGGTCTCAGCACTTAGAGTCTCTAGAACAACAGATGGGAATGTGTTGACACTGAGAGATTTAAGGGGACTCAGTTACAGTCGTACTGAAAAAGCTTTCTCTAAAATAAGAAAGCACACAGATTCCTCAACTCCCAGAAATTGCTGACAGCTTTGTTTTCAGCCCAGCAGGAGTAAAAAGAAGCTGACAACTTATTTTTGCAGGTTATGCTCATTCAGGTCTATTTTTAGATCCTTTTCCTAAGTAAGTGCACCAGAATAGCACTCGGTTTGAGAATCACCATCTGTTCCGTGCAGCGAGCCCCGGCTGGCGGGGTCCGGGGTAGGCATGCCTGGCCGCTCACGGCTGTCCCCACGTACAAGAACAAAGGGACGGTTTGCACCGTGTGGAGGGGGCGTTCCAACGGCGTCACAGGCATGAGCACTGTGACTGTCCATCAAACAGCAATTCTAATACATTTTATTTATAAACTGAGTACCACCAAGAATTGCCCTTGGCTTTTAAAAAGGGAGCTCAAATAATCCCTGGTATTTAAATAGATTTCTTATAAAAAGGCCATCCAACCTTATCTCAGTTGTTGAGATAAAAATTAACCTATGGAAACAAAAAGCCACCGCAGAAAGCTCAAAGAGGCCCCTTCCCCTGCTTTCCGGTGTCTGACAGTCCCTGCCTCCCTCTGCAGCCCGTTCCTTCTCGAAGCTCAGAGAGAGGCCCCACTGGCTGGTGACTCACACTTTTCTATGGAAATGCAGTTGGTGCATGACGTACCTCATCAGAGAGGAGATCTGACATATGAGTAACGGGCTGCCCAACACCTTCTGGAACCAGCACTCGCATGCGGTGCCCTGGGAGGGCCAGGAGGGCCGGGGTGCCGGGCAGGCGGCCGTGAGCCCACAGGCCTGACCCACCCCAGTGCTCCACTATTTTTAGCCTCCACTAAACTTAGCTCACTCCACCCTCTCGAATAACCTAGATTTAAATACCACTTTTCTCCTCTGGGTCCAAAGAACCTTTGCAAGGGAAACTGTAGAGGTAGATGGTCAGTGACAGGCTTTTTTTTATAAGATGCTACAACCAAGATAAAAAGGCTGTCCCAGGGAGCCCCTCGGCCTCAGAGAAGGACCAGGCAGGATTCAGGGACGGTGGCCACCAGGCGCTGGCCGAGCATGCCCATCCCGGGGAGGGGGGTGTCTGTCTACGGAGACCATGTAACCCACCGAGGGCACGGCAAGGGAGCCCCCCGATGGTCACCATTTCTGGCCTCTCTGAATGTTTTCTAAAATAATTCCCAAAAGGAAATCATGCTTGCTCACACATACACACACCCCGTCTGTCTCTCCTCCCCGAATACACAGTCCTTCTTGGGGAAACAAGTACTAAAAGAACCCTAGGTGAAGTTAGGACACAGGGCTTTGCAACTCGAGGTAGAGTTCACCTGCAGTCTGGAGCCAACATGCCACCTCTTACCAGCGCCCCATCCCAGGAAGGAGCCCCGCACCTGGTCCCCGCCCTTTCCAGAGCTGCCGGCACGTAGGCAGCCTCAGCCAGCCCAGGGCCCTGCTTCCTGGGCCTCTGCACGGACTTCGGGACAACTCCAAAGTCAATGTTTACCCACCTCACTGGCCTTCGGGAAAGCCAGAGTATGGGAGGTGAGTGCTGACAGGATTCCGAGTGCTGAGCCCTCAGCAGTGAAGTCAGGACCAGAATAAGCCGGGCTTATGGCCGGCGCCAGAGAAAGTCCCATGGTAGCACGGCAGTCGCCTGAAAAGTGCTGTCACAGAAAGCAAGCTTCCGTCCCAAGGGGCCAGGTCACTAGAAGGTCTATTCTTCAGGGAGAGCCAGCCCCCAGGGCTTTGGAAGAGGGTGTGTGTGTCGCTGGGGGGAGCAGCCTCCACTTACCCTCCTCTCCTTCCCCCTTCGCTGTTCATGGCCACATGGGGCAGCGCTGTAGGCTAACTGATCGTCCCTCATGTATGTCGTTCAGAAAAAAGAAAAGCAAACGCCCCCTTCTTCAGAGGTGTTGTCGAGGGAACGGGATGTGTTATTCAGGAAAAGTCCACTGGTGTTACCTGGCCATCTAGCAGAAGATTCTAGAACTGCCCCACGTGCAAGAGACACAGTGGCTCTGGTGCTTCTCAGTGAACACCCAGCTATTCTGAGTGGCCCTACGTCAAAGTAACTGGACATTTCTTATCCTCCGGGAAAGAAAATGGAACGATAAATAGCAAACATGGTTTAGGTGGTGACTTGAGGGGACCACCACGTGAAACACAACTCTCACAAAACCGGGAAAATGTGTGCCACGCACAGGTAACTCTGTGGGTGGCAACGTGGATTTGAAGAACCCTGAAATCACCAAGCGGTTTCCTGGGGGTTCTAGCTGTAGAGCGAGTGCATAGGTGAATGAGAAAATGCATGAATAACCGAGAGACACAGGCAGAGACCTGCCCAGTGGTACTCCATGCAGCTGTCTGTTGTCCTTACAAACCTCGTGCGGTGGACGTGACCTGCTTTGTCTCTCCACTCCAAGCGTGGTGTCCTCACCCCCAGCCACAGGGCCCAAGTCCTCCTCCAAATACATCCACGTGGAGCAGAGGTAAGTTGACCTGCTCCTGGGTGGCAAGGCTGGAAGATTGCAAGCTGGCCAGGGAGGGGGGGGGGGGCGCTGGGAGAAGATGGGACCACAGGTCTAGTTGTCCCAGAAGCTGGCCGCTCAGTGGATTCCCTTTTCTGGTCTAGTTTACTTCAGGTTGGGTGTGTGTTACTTGCCACATAACAAGATCTGACGCAGGACCTGACCATACCCCTCCGTTGGCTGACCCCCTTCCCTGCCAATGGGTTGCATTCCGTACCTCTCTGGCTAATGTCGTCCTTGATGACAGGGACACATGCTGGGGTGCATTAGGAACCTCTCCAAGCCCTCTACGTCCTGTTGCTCAAAAGCAGATGCCACCAAGCTGAGGTCTAAAGAGAGCCGAATCGCAAAGCACGCGGCTAAGAGGCGAAGCCTTTAGATTCCTCCCAGTCCAGATTCCAATTTGATATGAATTTGATGAGAATCACGTTATTGGTGGTTGGACAATGCACTGCCATCCCTGCACTAACCCCGTGAAAAGCCAAATACAGTTGTAAGGGGACCCTTAGCCCATGACAAGCTCCAGGACCCTCTACAATGGCACCAACGAAGTGAACCAATGAGGGGTATAAAGGCCCCCACAAAAAAGTTCTCTCCAGTGACCCATCAGGGGAAAAACCCATCAGTAGGAGCCTAGGCAGTGAGACTGGCTAAGGGAAGTGGGTCAAGCATGGACGTCTGACATCCACTGGTCCTGTCATGTCCCTTCCTCTGACGTCGAGTATTTGGGAGCCAGAGAGCTCACTGTGCTTCATTCCCTGTTTATAAACAGGTTCCCTCCCTTGTTGGCACGGGGTGCTGGGGTGGCTGAACAGCATGGAGGCCACAGCCTAGCCGACTCTGCAGAGCGATACCCAGCCTCAAGATCAGTGGATGAGCCTTAGAGGGATGGGGCTAGAGCTGGGCTTGGTTGCGGGGCAGAACTCTGCAGTGCCGTAGGGCAGGTGGGGGCCATCTGGGGGCAAGGATAACTGGTTGGGTCAAGGTTGGCCATGATGGCCGCCATGATTTTGGGGGCCCTCCCTTCTGTTGGAAAAGTGACCCTCCAATCATAGAGCCTACTCCCACAGCCACAGGGAGGACATGTGATCTACTTTAGGCCAGCAGAGGCCTCTCTGGGGAAAGTTCTGAGCTGGAGCTGAGTGAAAAGAATCCTCTTTCCTCCCCAGTGGTGAGCCAGGCAGCTGGGAGCTGCCATCCGGCGAAGCCAGTAGATAAGACCAGTCCCAGAGGTTGAGGCTGCATGCAAGAGAACATGTGACAGGGGCGCCTGGGTGGCTCAGTCGTTAAGCGTCTGCCTTCAGCTCAGGTCATGATCCCAGAGTCCTGGGATCGAGTCCTGCATCGGGCTCCCTGCTCAGCGGGGAGCCTGCTTCTCCCTCTGCCTGTCTCTCTCTCTGTCTCTTATGAATAAATAAATAAAATCTTAAAAAAAAAAAAGAGAACATGTGACAAGACATGGAGTGTGTCCCATCCCTGCAGCCGAGAGCCTGGCTCCAGGGGTGTTCGAGGATGACGCTCCCCTGTTCCACCCGCATGCCATGCTGAGAGTCACAAAGCTCCCTCTCCCCTAAGCTACCCTGGTTGATTTCCTGCCACTCACAACCAAAGTCCTATTACACCAAGCATTTTAGACTGCATGCAACTGGTAAGATTTGAAAACATTTAACAGGAGGCAGAACTCTAATTTACCTTTTTAGTCACCTGAAATTAGTAGCAACTGTCATACTACCTGTCCATCATGCATGGGCATAGGAGAGTTCCAGCTCTGTGGCCCAAAAAAAGTTCCAAAGAAGCAACAGTAACGGAGCGCCTGGGAGGCTCAGTCATTATGTGTCTGCCTTCTGCTGAGGTCATGATCCCGGGGTCCTGGGATCCAGCCCCGCATCGGGCTCCCTGCTCGGCGGGAAGCCTGCTTCTCCCTCTCCCACTCCCCCTGCTTGTGTTCCCTCTCTCGCTGTCTCTCTCTGTGTCAAATAAATTAAATATAAAATTAAAAAAAAAAGAAGCAACAGTATTGTCACTGTTTAGGTCACAAGATGGAGCACTCTAAAATAGATTTACATTTTTCACGGCAAACTAGAGTACGTAAAGGTAAAATTAAAATATGGTAGAAGAGTGTTCACACACGAACCAACCTCATGAAACTCCTACTCCTAAAAAAAACACAAAAACAGAAAACAAACCCTCACATAGGTTTCTCCCTTTCACTCAGTGGCTTTAAAACAGTTGTTAGTCATGTACCCATTAAGACGCCAAAACACATTTGGTTATTTCTGAAGCACATTATTTTGAAGCTCTGTTTGAATCTTTCATATTTGTGTGCTGAGAGTTATGTCACAAAGTTAATCATTCCCAGGATGCTTGCATTTGGGGTAATGAAAAACTTCTTGTGCAAGCGGCCATGAATCAGTGAGCGCAGCATTGCATAATGTGCTCCGGAGCGCAAGTCAGGGGATCAGCGCCCAGCGTTTCTGCCTCTTGTTGACCTTTTCTGAAGCAGAACTGGAAACACGTGACGGGTGCTTCCTGCCAACAGTCACTTATTGCCAATAATTAAGTTGGATAATGTGGAGAAATAGAAATAGAAATTTCAGTTCCTTCAGAGTTCTAAAAAGAACCCTCTTTGAAGTCCCTGGTTTCTGGCCCAGTGCTGTGGCCGACTTGAATGTGTTACTCTTGATCGTTATGAGAACCACCCATTAAAACTGAAATAAAATATTCTGCTAAGTGGTTCCTGGCATTTGTGTTAGAAACAATAGTCATGGCCTCACAATAAGATTATTTTATACGTAAGAAAAGAAAAGGAAAAGAATCAAAGACGCCAGGAGCCAAAGACGTACGTATAATACATCAAATCCCAGCCCATCGTGTTTGATGTTCTTGAGCAATAATGTTAGCGAGAAACTATTACTTAATCTTGCCAGTAGTATCCAAAGAGAACACTTGCGAAATACTCAAGACAAATATGCCGTAATTATTACATGAATAAAGAGCCTGTGTGGCAGAAACTGCCTTTGTAACATCCATGCCGACCCAAGTGGAGCAGACCGGTAATTAGCCATAGCAACAACAATGACCACTGTGTCTGAGCAGTGCTGGAGTGCACGGCGCCAACCTCCTGTTTGCAATGACACCTTGACCAGAAACTTCTGTGGAAACTTAGCCAAGGGTCCATTATACATTCTAGTAGCCTATTAGAATATATCTGGTTCCTGGCATGTATTAGAAATAATAAATCATCAAATTGCATCTTGGTTGTTTTCATTTTACTTCTGTTTTGTTTTAGAAAAGGACTCTTTTAAAAATAAAAATTATGAAAAAAAAAAGAAAGAAAAGAAAGGAACTCTTTCTTGGATTCTATCACTAGCAAACTCTTACTGTACTTGAGATCCCGTCCAAGGTCTGACAGGTTCAAATTAATAAACTGTTTGGTCATCATCGCTTTAATGCCCAACAGCAGAACATGAATTTAATAGCATGGAAGGAAAGTGTATACTCCTCCTAAAACACGAAACACAAAAATGCCAGGATTTCAATAATTAACGCTTGATTTTTACTACTTGAATTCTGCATTTATGCATCGATTTGCTTTGATTTATGGCTATTAGCTTTGTCACTGGTGGTTGAGACACAGATCCTCCACAGGCCAAGACAACCTCATGACAAGGCAGGGGCAGCCATAGCTGGAACAGCAAATTTTTGTTTCCTGGGCCTACCCTCAGGGCACACATTTAAAGGACAACAGCGCAGTAAACACTATGCTTCTGTGACTGCAAGTAAACTTAACATTTGGGAAGAAAGGTATATTTAATATCTAGGGCTATAGTAACAAACAACAACAAATATAATATGAATAATTAATATTATATTATTAGTATTAATGATTAATATATTATCATATTATTATTCATGAAACATCAGTTTTGATGTACCAGAAGTCAGATGGCTACACACCTTATTTATCAATAACATCTATGATACACAGGGTTGCATTAAAATCGTCTGTGTGGGTATAATGTCAGTGGAAACAGTGCGGTGAGAATATCCAAAAATCTGCTTCTCCGTATAAGCAGTAATTTTCAAGATCAACTTCTACAAAACCTGAAAATTAACCAAAAGCTTGCAATAATCTGATGAACATTTATTCCGGAAAAACAGTTGCATCTCAATAAAAACATCAAGCTCTGTGGCATTTTAATTTGCCATATGTCCAGTCCACTTTTCTCAACCCCTTGAAAACCAACCCCCCTAAAGTCAGGGTAGCCATGACCTGACCACCATTGTGTCTGCAACCTACCCGAAGCTCTTTTCTTAGAAATCTGTCATTATCTGACCTGTCTGGCAGCAACCTGGAGGATCAATGACTGAGGAAAACCCCTACTCATGGGCCTTGTCTTTATTGGACCTGACTCAGAGACCCCTCACTGTAAACAGCTTTTTTCATAGGGTATTTATAGAAAACAATCAGTGGCAACTGTTTAGTGTCAAAGTTACCTAAGGCAGTGACAGCAGCTGGTACAAATAAGAAACAGGCCAAAAAACTTAAAAGGAGAAACTGGGGAATGAGATGCCCATACAGGGCTATAAAAGGCTCTGACATGTTCCTAGGAATCTAGAAGGCAGTATGCATGTGCAGGGCTGTATGCACATTCAGGAAAGACCTGAGAAGGTCCCAACTCTCATCTTCAGCTGACACTGATGCTCTTGACAGAAAGGAAGTGAAGGCTAAGGCAAGGTTGCCAAATGCCCAGCAAAGCACTGAAAGCATGCCCCAACATGCACACAGTGCCCCTCTGCAAGACCTGGAGACTTCCTGCTTCAAGGTATTTATAGGAATCTCGTCCAATCATTAGTTGATCACTAAATTAACCAAGTGGAGACTTCAGGGACCACAAACAACAAAGAACACAGAATTATGTCAGACAAGTCAATACATAAACAAACTGCAATAATAACAAACAGCAACCACAAACCTGGGGGAGGGGAGGCAAGGACCTGATCTCCAGAGATGCCATATTATATTAATTTATATTTGCCATATTATTTTAAATACCCATTATTCAACAACATATTATAAGACATGAAACAAGAAAGTGTGACCCTATACAAAGAAAAGAAGCAACCAACAGAAACTGTTCCTGAAAAAAAAACAAGACATTGAATGTACTAGAAATGTTTTTAAATCAGTTATTTTAAATATCTTCAAAGAACCAAAGAATGAGAACAATGTCTCACCAAACAAGGACTATAAGTAAAACAAAACAAAACAAACAAAAAAACCCACAAACCTGCAAAAAAGAACTAAAGACCAATTCTAAAGTCAAAAATATAACTAGAACAAAAAAATTCACTAGTCTCAGGAGCAGATTTGACATAACAGAGGAATCAATATACCTAAACACATATCAAAAGAAGTCATCAAATCTGAAGAGCAGAGAGAAAAAAGTTCAAAGGAAAATGAACAGCACCTCAGAGGCCTGTGGGATACTCTCAAGTGTACTAATATATGCATAATGGGAGTACCGGAAAGAGAAGAGAGAAAGGTGTAGGAAGAGTATCTAAAGAGATTATGGCCAAAGACATGATCTACACATCCAAAAACCTCCGTGAAATCCAAGCAGGATGAACTCAAATAGATCCACACCAAGGCCCATAATAAACTGCCAGAAGCCAAACATCTTGAGAGCAGCAAGAGAGAAATGACTTGTCATTCACAAAGGGCCTCCCAAAAGATTAACAGCCTACTTCTCATCAGAAACCACAAAGACCAGAAGGCAGAGAGAGGACATATTCACAGTGCTGAAATAAAAATGACTGTCAAGCAAGAAGCAGATATCTAACAAAAATTTCCTTCAAAAATTAAGAAAAAATTAAGACATTTCAAGATAAACAAAAACAGAATTTGTCACTAGCAGAACTTCCCTACAATAAATCCTATAAAGGGAGTCCTTTAGGTTGAAATGAAGGGACACTAACTAGAGAGTAATTCACATCCACTGAAAAAAATCAAGTGTACTGGTAAAGGTAACAACACATTAAAAAAAAAAACACAACACACAGTATAGATGTATTTTTCATCTTTACCTTTTTTGCCTCCAGTCAGAATTAAAAGACAAGTGTGTAAAACAATAGTTATAGAGCTGTTCTCACAGACTTATAATGCATACGGATTTAACTTCTATAATAGCACAGAGGAAGCAGAAGGATACAAACCTACACAGGAGTAAAGTCTGTGCAATTAGTTGGTATTGACCCAAAATAGATTTTATAAGTTAAGATGGATTTAACTGTAATTCCCCAAAGAGTCAAAAAAATATGTAGCAAATGAAATGATAAGGAAATTAAAATGGTACACTAGAAAATACCTATTAAACATAGAAAACCAGTAATGCAGGAAGAGAGGGGGAAAAAAGACATGCCATGTAGAAAACAAATAGCAAAGTGGCAGATGTAAATATTACCTTATCAATAGTTACATTCTAATCAAAAGGCAGAATGGGCAGAATTAAAAGATATGATCCAACTTTATGCTGTCTACAAGAAATACACTTTAGATTTAAAGATGTAAATATGTTGAAAGCAAAAGGATAGACAAAATATATCATGAAAAAGTAACCAAGAGAACTGGAGTGGCTATACTAATATCAGACAAAACAGACTTTAAGATAAGCTACATGTACATCAGAAGACAGATGACCAAATTTACTGTTTGTGGTGCCAACACTAATTGTAAATTTATATTATAATGTGAAATGATTAAATATATATGTCACTTTAAAAAAATAACAGCTACTATGGACAAAGAAGCACATTTTATAATGCTAAAAGGATTAATCCATCAAGAAGACATAATAATAATGAATACATATGCATAACCATAGAGTCCCCAAATACATGAAGCAAAACCTGACAGAACTGAAGAGAGAAATAGACAATTCAACAACAGTGGCTGCAGGCTTCACTATCTCACTTTCAATAATGAATAGAACAAGTAGAGGACCAACTAGGAAATACAAGAATGAAACAAGGGCGCCTGGGTGGCTCAGTCGGTTAAGTGTCTGCCTTTGGCTCAGGTCGTGGTCCTGGAGTCCTGGGATCGAGCCCCACATCAGGCTTCTGCTCAGCGGGAAGTCTGCTTCTCCCTCTGCTCCTCCCCCACCCCTCCCCTGCTTGTGTTCTCTTTCTCACTCACTCTCTCTCCCTCAAATGGATAAATAAAAATCTTAAAAAAAATAAAAAATTTAAAAAAAAAAGAATGAAGGGCGCCTAGGTGGCTCAGTTGGTTAAGCATCTGCCTTCGGCTCAGGTCATGATCCCAGGGTCCTGGGATCGAGTCCCACACTGGGCTCCCTGCTCAGTGGGGAGTCTGATTCTTCCTTTCCCTCTGTGGTTCCCCCTGCTTATTCTCTCTCTGTCAAGTAAATAAAATCTTGAAAAAAAAAAAAAAAAAGAATGAAACAAGACTACAGATGAACCAGACTTAATAGAACACTCCACCCAGCAACAGGAGAATACACATTCCTCTCATATGCACATGGGATTTCTCCAGGATAGATCATATTTTAGGCCACAAAGTCTCATTAAAATTTGCCAAGGACTGAAATTATACAATGACAAGACTGAAGTACATTTGCCAACCACAATGTCATTAAATTTGAAATTAATAATATAAGGAAATTTGGATATTCACAAGTATATGTAAATTA